GCTGGGAAAATTCTAGACCTTGGGTCTATGTGATAAAGATGTTTCTAGTGAGCCTCCCAGGCCTGGATTTCACTGCTCAACCCTGCCTGGAGAGAGCTCAAGAAGAACAAGGGTTCATCACATGTCTCTTAGTACTGTCACAGCTCTGGTAACTTCCATTAATAGCAATTAATATAATCAAACCTCAAAGCTTCTGCTGAATGCCCTAGAGGTTCACAGAGCCTTTTTTTTATCCCCAAGACATATTAACTGTCAAAGACCCGAAGTTCAGCTGTTAGCAGGTGACATGATGCTGAAGAGTTTGCTCCCACCTGCTCTCCTGACTGATTCCTACTGTCACTAAGCTTTCCAGAGTGTCTTCTGAAGGTGCCTACCTAAAACTGACAATCTGCATTCCCACAGAAAATTCTTGCTTTATTAAGACAGTATAGTCTAAAAGCTGTAGGACTGGTACTGTGCTACATCACCTCACAGCCAACACCAATTCTGACCTATGACCTGTTACAGATGTTCTGTCCTCCTCCTCCACTTTGTTGCCAGTTAACTCTAAGCTATGGTGACAGTAAGAGTGAAGTGCTTGAAATAGACAGCGCCAAGGGATTCACCTCTCAAAGGATGCAACACACACAAAAATACCCAAACAAACTAAAAAGAGGGGCTGTACGTGTAACAAAGAATGAGGTGCTTAAGCTCTAGTAAATACACCAGTTTCAGCATGCACTGAATACACCAATAAATAGAAACACTCAATTTTAAATTGTCTCACCAAATCTCTTTTCTGCTCCCCATGCTTTTATACTCCCATCTGAGATGCTATAGTTTCCTTTTTTGTGATTTTTATGATTTTAAGTATTTCAAAATTATTTTATGAGTCAGTGCAAGAATGTAACACTTTTATCCCAACCACTTCAAAAGGACTGCACAAATTAATAAGTAATAATGTATGTAATGATGATGTACATGGGCTGTCTCTCTCGACTCTCCACTATAGATTTGGGGGTGGGGATGGCTTGGTTTTAGGTTTCCTATATTGGATTTTTTTTCCCCGTGTTTTTGTTTTATTTAAAGGAACATACATGACAACGCTTAGCAATTAAAAATTTACTGTGGGGAGAATCAAGAGTTCCTTGGGTGATGGGAGAGGGTTAGGCCCCCAACCCTAAACAACTAATAAACAACTTTGGTCCTCACTGTTTCTATCCACAGCTTCTCTACTCTTTCACAGAGCAAAATGAGCCAACCTATCATTAAATTTTGCAAGGTGCAACAGTTGCCTCTGTTGAAGCCTGTCAAAGTTACCACGCATGAACTCTACACTCACAGTTCTATTTAGAGATCCTCTTCGCAACAATGGGCTAGAAAAATTCTTAAAAGCAAACTAAATTCAGCACAAGTTAGCAAGGATCTCCTGAAAAACTGTTCCAAGCACTGATTATGAGGTTTGATATGAAGAATCTTTTTTTAAATCAGTGTCAGGTACTACAGACACATCAACCTCCTTTTAAGATTTACTGCACCTTCAAGATGAAGTGAGTGTCTGAAAACATTTTTGGCTGCATCCCATGGTACTTGCTCCCACTATCACACAAGTTTGGAAGATGCACTTCAACAAAACTTCATTTTAAAAGTTAGGAAAAATGCATGAAGAGGATGGGATTTTCTACCTTGCTGTTTTGGAATTCATCTACGTATTACAATGCAACATACTATGCTTGCTTCATCGCAGCACAAGTGAGGGGCAGGGGATTCACACCTTTAACTGGTTCACAAAGCAATAAGTAATTAAGTGACTGCATGAGCCAAAAGATTCTGTCACATATTTGAATTACATATGAAAATAACTAATAAGCACAATTGCTTCTAACATGTTCTCACCTTGATAGGATTGCTCAGCAGAAGAAAGTTTCAGTGAACAAAGTCAAAGTAAAGTTTAAGGCTTATTTTAAAGTAAAATCTTCCCATCCCATTGGGTATCCCTCTCTCACTTCCATCTCCAGGAGATTTTCCATACCAAGAGCAAGTCAAGTCCATTGGGCCCCTACCTTAGTCCTGCAGCTCTGATTTCTACATCAAAGCGCAGTGTGGACTGTTACTGTCTCTAAAAGCAACATGTAGGAAAGTATCCAGTGAGTTTCTCACTTTGATGAAGGTCAGTGATGATCCCAGCAGGAATGATTTAATATTATGTATTAGTAGCACAGAAAGCAGTGAAAAAGAAACAGGGATGTATGAGACACAACCACTGGGAGTTAGGGAAACCCAAACTCAGATTCTAGTTCTTACTTCAGTGTGAGCTTGGTTACGATGAAGAGGAAAAAAACAAACATGTTTGAGACATGTTTCCTGGTCCCTGCATGGAACTAACATCATTGACAGGTATTAAGGACTCATCAAGCTTCACAACCATCTAAAATGCTGAGAGAGGAGCAAATAGAAAGTGCCACTGACAAAGGTGTCTAAAATCCAGCCTCTCTCCACTGCTTGCAAATATTGCCCTGGAATTACACAGTTACATCCTCCTTTATTCCTTTAAAAGAAATACCATGCATCATTCTTTGCCTTTAAAGCCTAACAAAAGGAAAAGCTGGCAATGTTAAACCTCTTTTCTAATACAATGTTACAACAAGAGGAACACTCACTCTTCCTTCAGGAGGCTCAGACTCAACTGCCTGCGAGGCTGAAATCCACTTCTTGCCACCAGGCATACTGAGGACGAGGCCATTCCCACCAGGAGATGCACAGAAACAGCATATGGGGAAAGAAACAACTACCACCCATACCCCAGTGGGGACACAGGCCAGTGGGAGCCTGACAATTTTAAATAAAGAAAATGGTTCTTGGTTTTGAACCCGATTCTAATATGTGGGCTGTAAAGTCATGTTCCTTCTTTTGCTCCCTCTCCAGGCCATGAATATTTAATTCTTTTATGCAAACTGGAAGAGTTGCAATGCAAGGTTAAATTAGCCTAAATAACCTTGAAATCCTTTTGTGAAGTTGGGCCTCAGAGTCAACTCCCGATCTGTAGAGAAATAACTTTCTTACACAAGGAGTTCTGTTGTTACTTGTATTTAAAATACTGTGGAGTACCACGACAAAAGTGTTGAGGTTAAGTGGATTTAACAAAATTTATACTTTTGGTTCACCTTTCTCTGTTAAGAAACACGGTTTAGAAAGTCCAATTACTTTATAAATGTTTGTTCCTCAATTTTGAATGCAAAATTCTTCCTGGAGAAAGGAATAATTTACAATATTTTCCAAGTTTTATTTGATAACACATACATATGCTGGCATGTTTGCTGCTCCCCTAGTTCCTTAAGTTAATCTAAACTTAATTAATACTACTTTAGCTGTATTTTGCAGCAGGCCAAGCTCCCTGCAGATCAGCTACAGGTATATGCCAAGTCAGTGTCTCATTCATATGTCATAAAGCAACCAAAATAAATAGACTTCTGGAAGCCTGACAGGGCTACTAAGTTTCACTTTTAATTCTTAAAGTATTTTATGAACTTCCTGCAACTCATAACCCTACAAATCATTCACAGGGTTGGAGTCAGGGATGAAAAGCTGTGTCCCAGTGATCAGCCTGTGCAAAAAACAGTTCCATGATCTCTCTCCAGTGGGAAAAAAAAATAGGATAGATTATTCTTTACCCTGCCAGCTAATCTTTAGAATCTAGAAACCTTAGATGCTTGCATTTTAAAAGGTAGAAATAACAGCAAATGTTTAAAAATCCTTATTGGTAAAATCTTGACTAGGATAATGTGCATATTTATTGCTGTAAATGCTTTTTAGCATTTGAATAATCTGTCTATTCTGAAAAATAAATTACATATCCAGAACAATGATTGGATTGGAACCTGGCAATGAAGAAATAAAGTAATTTTTCAAGTGTCTAAGAACTCACAGATAAACTTAAGAAGATGGTAAAACAGCATAAGTGAATCTGAACACTGCAACACAGCTGTCTATTGCATCTTTCTTCCATGCCACTGATTACCGACTCCAAATTTTAGCAACATTAAGAATTCTACACAAAATAGCCATTTTGATTCAAACTCAATATGGATCACTGCTTCCCAATCCTGTTAGCCTGTGCCACCTTGCTTTAGGTTTCGTTTGCTGCTTGCAGCTCACAAGTGGGTAAGTGCTGAATCAGATCATCTCCTAAGGTCGCTGGCAAGTTCTGCTTCCCGTGTTGTAAACCATGTCTACAAACTCAATCTTCCATTTCTAACAACATCAAATGAATGACCTGGGTCTGACTGCTCTAGTATTTAAAACAGCTGGGCCTATTCTCTGGCACATGTCTCAGGCAATCGGAGAGAACCAAGAACCAACAATATTAAGAAAGGTTCTAAAACTTTCTCTGTTCTAAAACAATCATTAAACTAGAAAAACAAACAAACAAAAACTAACCTAATAAATCAGACTCATCGCTTCCTTTTTTCCAGTGCCTTTTAGAAAGTAAATAATAATCTATAGCTTTCATTCATCATCTGCTTACAACTTCAAGTAGCATTGTTACTCTTGCAAGAAACTAGGCCGTAATGGGCTTTTGCTAATCACAGGTGAAAGGTCATTCTCATTTAGCAGAGTACCAAGCAATAAACATAACACATTGACATGACAGAGGAAGGGACTGGTACTGAAATACTGACATGGATTATACCAAGAACAAAAAATATTGTGACTCAAGAGAAGATTTTATCAGTGTTGGTCACAGAGCTTCCTTAGGACTATTTATAGTCTAAAGAAAAAAAGAAAAGAACAACATATAGAAACACAGTAAAGACAGTCTATGCCCTAACTCATACTTTTCAAAATACATAACAATTTAATAATAATGCTAATAACATCAGTCACTGACAAGCCACCAGTCCTAAATCCAAACTGATAGGAAACTTTGATCCTTTCTCTTTCCCATGCCTGACCCTCTGCTAAGTAGTTATGAGAAAGAAAACTTCTCCGTGCACTTTTCTTCAAGAATGAATTGCACTCACCTTCTCGGCAAAGTCGCATTGCTTCTCGGTTTCTTCCGTATTCCTTGAAACTTTCTTCTAATGCTGTTCCTAAAACGAAAAAAAAGCCACAAGGTCTCAATCCACGGAAAAGCCGGAGGGTAGGAGCGACCCCGCGATGGTGACCCGTAGCCCATTTCCCCGTGGGCACACAGGGACACGACAGTAAACACAGGAGCGGAGGGAGCCCGCACTCCTGGGCCCGGGAGCGGGGGAGCCGCTGTCAGCGGCGGGGATGCCTCACCTGCGGCGGGAGCTCCCCGCCCCACGCCCAGCCTGAATCGAGGGCAGGAGGTGCCGGGCTCCGGGGACCGGCTCCTCGCTCCGTGTCCCGGATTACAGGAACTGGGGCAGGCGCTGCCCGCTCCGCGCCGCTCCCGAGCCCGGCCGGGGGGCGCGCACCGGACAACGAACTCGGCCGCGAATGCCGGGGGTGGGAACGGACCCAACCTCCC